TGTTTCCAAGTGGTACAAACGTTCCGGTTCCTAATATGCAAAATGAACTTGCTAATAACTTCATGACTTTGCCTCCACAAGGTACCCAAGATATCCCTCAAAATGTAAGTGAGGGAGCTGCCTCGTTACCTTTACTGCATCAAATGTTTGGGAATATTACCCATCAAAGAACTCGGGATGTTACTCCTGTGGTACCCATTGCTATCCATCAGGAGTCATTGCCAGTGTCGACAAATGATGAGAGCTCAACTTTGCTTGATGCGATGACCAAATCTAGAAAAGAGCCCCTTGTGCAGAAATCCATACCTGATTCTGACTTTCATGCTTCTAAAACTATGGAGCAGGCATCTGAAAACACTTTCAGAGCTAACGAATCTGGTTTGGTTGCAATCTCTGAGGGTGTTGCAGATTCTATTCCACCTGTAGGTGCTTCTGAGGGAGATATGCCTGAGCATGTCAATGATGTGAAAGTTCAATCAGATAGTCAGGTTGAAGAACAGCAGATTCAAGGGGAAAAGTGCAATGATGAGGTTCCTGCAGTATCTGACGTGAAGAATGTTGAAGCACGTGGGCAAAGAAAGACTTCTGAGAAGAAGTCCAAGAAGCAAAAATCTTCCAAGGCACAGTCCTTGAGTGACCAACCAAAAGGAGTATCCAAATCTGTCTTTTCACAGCAAATAAAGCAGTCTGAAACTGAGAAGCCTGTTGTTGGTGACACAAAATTGGAGACAAGAGGTAACCGAGGCAGTAAATCTGAAATTGTTACTGTAGAGGTTTCAGAGTCACGACAAGCTGAAAGATTAGAGCCACTTTCTGGAGGTGATACTGAACCTTTTGAAGTGAAGGGTGATTCTAAGCTTGTTGAGTCTGGGCAAAGTTCCCAAATACAGATTGGGCAGAGAGCTTGGAAACCTGCTCCTGGTTTTAAGGCCAAATCTTTACTAGAAATTCAGCAGGAAGAACAGAGGAAGGCACAAACAGAAGTGATAGTACCTGAGGTTATCAGTTCTGTCAATTCCTCAAGTCTGCCAACTCCTTGGGCTGGGGTTGTAGCCAATTCAGAACCAAAAGTATCTAGAGAAACTCCAAATGATGCAGGTATTAATGAGTTAAATGTTGGGAAACCCAAAACTACCCAAAATTCAAAGAGCAAGAAGAGCCCATTACATGATCTATTAGCAGAGGAGGTTTTGGCCCAGTCTAGTGAAAAAGATGTTGAGATTCCTAATGGTGTATCAACTCAGCCTTCTCCACAAGTTATGCCCACCCATTCAGAATCTGTAGATGACGATAACTTCATTGAGGCAAAAGACACCAAAAAGAGTCGCAAAAAGTCAGCAAAATCAAAGGGTACTGGAACTAAGGTCTCAGTGTCAGTTACCCCAGTAGATGTGCCTATTAGTTCAAGCCCCACTGAGAAAGTCAAAAGCTTCCGTTCTGTACAGCAAGAAAAGGAAGTGTTGCCTGCAATCCCGTCAGGGCCTTCATTGGGAGATTTTGTTCTTTGGAAAGGAGAAACGCCTAATCCGGCTCCTTCTCCAGCATGGTCTACTGACTCTGGGAAGCTTCTTAAACCCACATCTTTAAGAGACATCCAAAAGGAGCAGGAGAAGAGGGTTTCTTCTGCTCAGCACCAAAATCAGATTCCAACACCTCAGAAATCCCAGCCAACTCCAGCCACCCACAATAATGTTCCTTCATGGTCACTTTCGGCATCATCTCCGTCTAAGACTGCATCTCCCATCATGATTAATTCCCATGCTTCTCAGCCGAAACACAAAGTAGAAGATGACTTATTCTGGGGCCCAATTGACCAATCAAAGCAAGCAAATAAGCAGTAAGATATTTACTCTTTTACTCTATTTGATATTAATTCATTGAGTTAGGTTGTGTAGGCTGCATGTCGCTCTGAGATAGAAACCTTAATTTGCCTCTCATAATTGTATTGTGGGATGCATGTGGGAGTTTGCTCACATCTTTTATGTTGGTAGGGGACTAATTTGAGCTGAGCTTGTCTTTTTGTTTGTTTATTTCTCTGTGAGCAGGGCAGATTTTCCTCATCTTTCAAGCCAGGGCAGTTGGGGAGTGAAAAATACTCCTGTAAAAGGAACTTCAGCTGGTTCATCGAGCCGGCAGAAATCAGTGGGTGGCAAACCAACTGAGCGATTACTTTCATCCTCACCTGCCTCTTCTCAGTCATCTGTAAGAGGAAAAAGAGATGCCATGACCAAGCAATCAGGTGTGCTATCATGATACTGTTAATTCTTCTCTCAAAGATATTAATTGATGCCTATTTACCCCGTCATATTTTTCTTTGCAGAAGCCATGGACTTCCGAGATTGGTGCAAGAGCGAGTGCGTTAGGCTTATTGGGACAAAAGGTATGTTGACCTTCTGGCCTGCTTAATAATTTGTATGCAAGTGCCTTAATTAAATTATGCGTGAAATCCATAGCATGAGGTTGATATTAGGAATTGATTTTCCTTGTAGCTTAAAAAGTGAATTTATAGTAATCTTTGCACCCCAAGAAATGAAAACCGGCACACAGCACACACAATTGAGGCATGTGGCTTCCTTGATCAGAGGTGTAATACTAATATAGGCTTCGTTTTTGTTGGTCCAAATGCATTCTTCTTGCGATATTAATTGTCATAATTAATTGTATAACTGATTTTTTTAAAAATTTGCTAGATACGAGTGTCCTTGAGTTTTGCTTGAAGCAATCCAGATCAGAGGCTGAGTCGCTTCTAATAGAGAACCTTGGGTCGTACGATCCTGATCACGAGTTCATCGACAAGTTTCTCAACTACAAGGAGTTGCTATCGGCTGATGTCCTTGAAATTGCGTTTCAAAGTCGGAATGATCAAAAGCTCACCGGGTTTGGTGGTGGAGATGTGAATTCGTACGGTCCAGATGCTGGGGATGTTGACCAAGATGGGTCCTCCAAGGGGGGTGGCAAGAAGAAGGGGAAGAAAGGGAAGAAGGTTAGCCCTGCTGTTTTGGGATTTAATGTGGTGAGTAACCGCATCATGATGGGTGAGATCCAGACACTGGAGGATTAGGGAATGGTTTTAAGAGGCAGGCAGGCGACAGTGGAGGATTAGGGAGTGGTTTTAAGAGGCAGGCAGGCAGGCAGGCAGTTGTAAATAGATTTTGGCTTTTGGACTGTATATGGCTTTTTTACCTTTTCGCCCTTAGAATTTTTTGTTTTTCCCTTTTGTAGTGCCACAGAAGCAGTGCTAATTTTTTCTGCTCGAGCGATTTTGTGTAATGTTCCTTCCAGTGGTAAGAGTACTTTTGTTATTTTATTCGCTTTACTTTAGTTGAGAGATCATCCTGCGGGAAACGTTGAATCTTCTTCAATCGAGGTACCCTTTCCCTTTGTTTCATTCATTTGCTTGCTTCCCATCTTTCTGTCATCTGCTATCTTTTATGTTGCAGTTTAGTGATCGATTTGAGTTTTAACTCTTTATTTTCATCATGCTATCGTGTATTTTACTGCAAAAAATAAAAAATAAAAGTTATTTCAAGTGCAGTACTTATATATCACCAGATATAGAGGTTTTTCGGTTAATTTTAGTTTTTTTTTATTTTTGGGTCAAATTTTATTTATATTGGACCAGACAAAATATTTAAATAAATTCAAAATTGTCATTGAAAATCAACATTGATCTTTTTTATTACTGCTTCGTTTACCATGAAAAGGAAATTAAATACGGGGTTTTTTCTGATCCAATGGACCAATACTGAAGTTGCGTAACGAGTCTCGCGGATTTAGTGGTCATTTCCTCTCACTGTTTCTTCTGCAGTGGCGTGGGGGCAGTGGCATCGTCTGAAGTTTACGTGGAGTGGGACCCACTGGAAGACAACTTTTGACTGACATTTCTCTTCTCTATTATTTGAAGCTCAGACTTTTCTTTCTTTCTTATATACTAGCCTCGCATGTACTTCGAGAGGCTTTTTTTATTTTATTTTATTTTATATAAAATTTATTTTAGAATTAAAAAATAATAATAAGTAGTTGTGTGTTAGGTTTTTTAGGTTTTAGACATAAAAAAAATTTCACTTTTGGAAAAAGTCAAAGTTTTTTCAAAAAAGACAAAAAAACCGCTCAACTTTCACATCAAAGACATGCAAATGTATTGGATTTCTTAGAAAATCTAAAAATAAATAAGGGCATTTTTGTCCATTTTTGCTTCTTTTAAAATTTTTCTCTCTCCTTTTGTTTTTTTCAAAATGTCCATTGTGTGTTCTATAAAAATAATATTCATTATCTGATTTTTCTTTTAATTTTAATTTTTTTAATATATATTTTACTATATTATCATCAGTTAATTAATAATTAGGCGCTTTATATATATAGTCACACTCAAAACAGATTTCTTTTTTTTTCTTTTTTTTTTGGATTGAATTGGGAGGAAACCTCCGAACAACACAACTGTATAAAATAAACACAAACAAGATAGGGACAAGACATCCCAATCAAGTCGTCAATAACTAAAGAACTAATCCAACTTAACACATGCCAACACCCATGTTATAGCTCCAATTAGCTAATCCATCCAGATATCTTTTGATACAGTGCAAAATTTAAAGAAAATAAATATTAATCCTGTGTTGCAGGATCGGTTTCAAGCTTCCTCTCTTTCTAGCAGTTCAACGCCTAATTTAGTGTATTTTATTTTATTTTAGCAGAATCATACCACAACTTGATTGGGGAATTCAAATAAAACAAAAAATACTTGGTACGTACATGTCTGACTATTTTGTAAAACTCTCCGATAACACCAAAATATAAACAAACAGTTGAATTCACCGCAATCCTCCTTGATATAAAACTTGGTGCATGCATGGGTTAAGATAGTAATACAGATCAGATGGGTCTTCGTCTTCAGCTACTTTTGAGCAGGAGTTGTGTGTATAGTCCAGGTGGACGGACATCTTCTTCCTCCAAATTTTGAGCAGGAGTTGAATGAGTAAGTAGCAAAATGGAAGGAGTTTTCAGCTACTTGCTACTGCTGTAGCTACCTTGTTGCTTTCCTCTTCTTTCTTGGATCTCTTTTTCAATTCTCTATTGCTCTGGAAATAAATAATTAAACAACAGAGGTCAAAATTGGAACACTAGTGAATTTTTATAAGGGACTGAAACCTGCTATGACTGTTGAATTTTCTTCATGATTATGAAATGCCTATTTTGATTCTAGGATCAAACAGAAGGCAACAAAACAAAACAGAAGAGAACAAAACAAAAGCAGAGGACCCCTTGACTTGATGTATCAAAAAGCAGAGAGTAAAGTTTTGCGAGATCACACCACCAAATTTATCTAAAATTTAACTTGATGTACATGAACTTAAGGAAGATGGACTGACCGCTGAATGAAGTTGAAGGGGAAAGGGGTCGAGTATGATGGAGCGGATGGACATCTTGGCAATCTCCAAAACGGCAGCGTCTCGAACAGGGGCAACGTCACTGCTCAAATGCTCGTAAGCTGCTTCAAAAGCCTCCTGCCAAAACCGAGGCAATCGATTGCTGCTACTTCTGCTGCTCTGGGTGTACAAATCCCACATGTGCCTCACCACCTTCTCTCTCTCCTCCACCTCCTGTGTTTATGTACACAAATTAATTTCTACTACAGAGTACAGTAATTTAATTTAATTTGATTAAACCATGAAATTGAACAACATATGTAAATATATTAGTACCAGAATATCGAGATCGTCGAAGGATGGAAGGTCCAAGTCGTCGGAGAGGCGGGTTAAGTTGCCGGCGGACCACTTGAGGGTAACGGATCCGGTGAACATGGACCAGAAAGCCAGCAGGAGAATCGCAGCTAAAACCCAGAACTTGTAGCGAGTCTTGTCCAAAAAGCTTCTGCCTTTGGATGATGGAGAAGAAGAAGAAGAAGAAGAAGAAGAAGAAGAAGGTGAGGTGTCCTTCCTGAAGACCGTTGGTGTGGTGGTGGTTGATGGGATTGTTATGAGTGTCGGTGGATCGTTCCCTTTCATTTTTAGAAGATGGAGGAGTTAATAATCTTCAACAGTGCAGGCTAAAGGCTGAAGAGCGGAGGAGACAGAGAGACAGAGACTGAGGGGAGAGACTATTTTTAGGTCTGGGAGGTTCTGTGGACTTTTTGGTACACTAGTGTGGGTGTGGTGTGGCCCTGCCTGTGGACTTGTTGGGTGGGGGTGAGTAAATGTTTGGGTGTAGAATAGTAAATTAATTAATGGGTGGCATGGAATGGGGTGGGTGAGGTGAGCCATCAGTGTATCAAATTCGATCGTCATGCATGGTATTATTAATCACACTGACGAAACGGCCATGGATGACGGATGGGAGAGCATGGAGCGTATGTAGTGTTTGGCCATCTACCTGCCCAATTTTGCCAGTGGAATTTGTTTTGTATCTGCTGAATTATGGAGATGTGGGGTCCAGTTAGACGCGGGCGGGAGGGAGGGAGCATATGGCACTTGCCGACTAGCTTTGACTCTTGGTTCAAAACAACATCACGTCACGTCCTTCCTCTCACCGTCACGACTCACGACTCACGACTCACTCTGTTTAGCTTTTGGTTCTTTCGTTCCAGCACTTAGCTTTTTTAATTTATTATTTCATGGTATTTATTTATGGATTTTAACCCTGACCTCACTTTTCCTCCTTTAGAAATTTGTGCTGCTAAATTAGAATTAGAATTACTCAAGCGTCGTAGCTCTCGTACTGGAAATTGACAAATCTTAAAGCCTCTCATTTTCCCACCGTCCCATCATCGTCAGTATTTAAAACCTCAAATCAATCCGAAAGCAGCAGGATGGAGGATGGAGGATGGTGATTGTGTTTAATCAGACAACCAAAACACCCTAAAATATGGACAAAACGCAACGTCTAGGCAACTTTCGGAGGCCCAATGGGCTTCCCCGGCCTCCGCAACTTTAGAACATACTCAAGCCCTAATACATTTTTATTTGAATATATGATTTTGCAGACAAAATACCCATTCGAATTCCATTACTTCGTAACCATAATAAAAAACTACATAATTTATCATTGAATTATAAACTAAGTGCTAATTTATAACGTATAATTTCTCACATACTAGGTTACAAAAATGTTGTATTTCAAATACATTTGGGACACAATTAAAATACAAATGAAACAAGCTTATGAATCCTCCTCAAGAAACAACTGTGTGTAGCAAAGAGGTTCTGTCCTTCGGCAAATTCACTGCAACTGAATTCAGCTCAAGTATAATATAATTATTTATTCAACAAAAGAATCATATCATAAAATGAGATGAATTACCAATGCAACCTCAACCAACTTGTATATGGCGCTCAGAAAGGGTGCATATCATATCATGGATTATCTCATATGTCCAGACATAAATTAGAGCAACCTCATCATAGCAGCCAGTCTCCCAACGCACATATCTAGAAACCCTAATGCAAACACATTACACAAGAAAAACAAGGCAAACAGGTAGAATTATACAAAATTCAAAGATCCTCAGAGCCATTCCACAAGTGGAAGTTGCAGACAATCTACATAGCATCAGATTCTGTCCGCCCGTCTGCTTTTCCTCATCATTGAACATTTTCTTCAAAACTCAAAATCAACGCCAACAGAAAAGAAAAACAGGGCAATGCTTCAGATAATAAGCGGAGTAATTTTGTCCACATTTATTTCGGTGTGTAGTATAAGTGAATGTTGTTTGTAGCATCATATGCGTTGCCCCTATATGATATGATATATCACCCAGAAATCAAATAAACAGATAGTAATTTACAAATAAATAAATAAATAAAATTTTGAAAATGGCATCAGATAATAAGCGGAGTTTATGTCAACACAAACAATCAGTATATCAATAAGCGGAAAAGATTATTCATCACTTGCCATTTGACTCCACCAACATAAACACAAAATCGAAAATCGAAAATAAAAAATCAATCTGCGAAGAAGAAGAAAGTGAGTTTCGGTAGGTCCATTTGACCCCAAAGCAATCCTATATATGCAATGGGCTGGTAAGCCAACCTCTCGCTCTCTGCATCCGTTATAGCTCCTCCAGCATTGATTTTTCGCATGGAAGGAGCGGGTAAACAGATGCACACACAATCAAAACCTAACTACCCAAACAGACGCTCAATATCTAGATCCAGTAAGAACGAAGGCAGGCAAGCAGAAACCAAACAACGAAATTTGATTCGGATTTGTATTGAAAGCAGGAGAGCGATTGAGAACTGAGAAGAATGAGAGGCGTCAAGCAGAGCTTAAATAGGGGTTTGTGCGAATTAGGGTTTTATTTCCCTTTTGGGCTTTGAAATCTGAGAATTTTCATGGGCTTTTACATAGCAAGCCCAAGCCCAGCTTTCAGGCCTGGTTCATCTAATTAAGTTAATTTCACTATTTGTTTTGCTGTTTCAAATGAAATGAACTTTTCTAATGGTTAGTAATTAGAGACACGCACAAATTTTTTAATTAATTTCTCATTCGAGGAGACCAAAATTAGATTAATCTTGTTGTTGTCTAATTGATCAAAAACCACAGGCTTTCAAAGCAAAACCGATTGCGTTTTACCTATATGTACATGCAGTTCTTTCTTTCTATTTTATACTTTGCTTCTATAAAATAAATTGAACAAAACGCAACGCCGTACGTACTAGCTCACTCCCACTCCTTGTTGATCTCCACCGTCTTCTCTCTTAAGATCCGCAGGAGGCAGAAAGCACTCCATGGACAACCCACAAATATTGAAATCAACCTCTTCAATCTTCCACGTCTCCTCAATCCTTCTCTTCTGGTTAAATGCATGCCCGTACCTGTACAGCAAGGCAGACGTCTTGCCGCCGTGTGCTATGTTGATCCCGTCCACGTATCTATAGTCTCCGATCACCGTCTCCATCGTCGTTTCCCAAAACACATTATCGTATCTTGACTTCATCTTGACCAACTTGGTGTCGTCGAATTGGATGAGCAGCCCCGTCCGTTGGCTGAAGTAGCCCCATATTGTGTGGTGAACAATTTCCGTCTGGGGTGTGCTTTGGGATTGTAGGATCTCTGTAGGGGTCTCAAGCTTGAGTATGAAAGATTCCTCTTTGTTAATGGTTTTCTCCCCTATGCATACTGCGTCTAGGAACAGGTTTGCTATGCTCCGAGGGTCCAATCCCTAAGAATTTAATCATTAGATATCTTTATATCTTCATATTAATAATGCTAGAAACATAACATAATATATGTAACATGTTCAATGTGACCCAAATATGTTAATATTATTCATATGTGATCAATACCTGAAAGAAGCGACGGAGGGGTCTTGGGGGGCCTTTATTGGCATGGCAAGGTTGAGAGCCGGATTGATTCCACGCAACCTTGCCGTCGCTTCCCGCGCTGACCTTTAAGCCGGAAACAACCAATTCCAAGTACCACAAGTCCGGATTCTTTTGCCATAGAACAAACCCTCCAACCTCACTATTGCCTTTGGTTTGCACATGCACAGAGTCATCACCTTGACGCATTTCCGATCCCACCATCTTCATCTCGCCCACGGCGTACATACTATTCACCGAGTTCAATACCGCCAGACCCCCAGTCGCCGCTACATATTGCTGCACTATATATTTTGCCGTAGAAGCCTCCTGCATGCATGCAAATTTCAATTATATTTCCGTAATAATAATGAAAAATGCACATAAATTGATATTGTTAATGTAATTAGGTTACGTACGATGGAACAATCTTTAATAGGGCGGGTGAGGGCATTGTCGCAGTGAACCTGGAGGGGGATGAGAGGAGAGCCCACAAGCTTAAGCAAGGCCATGAACTCATTGTTCGATCGTGATGAGAAATGGGATTTACCATTTGAAGACCTGTCGACGTGGGACTGAGCTTTCATGAAAGAGCGTAGGTTTGCCCAACGCAACATGGCGTTGCTGCCCATGCTGTTGAACATTTCCTCGGGAATTGGCACCTCAAGGACGGTGTCGAGGCCATCTTCTTTGTCAAGGTTAGGGCACAGCTTCCTCATAGAAATTAGGTTATTAATTAATGAAGGATTGTGGAAACAAGTTAATTAGTAATTTATTGAGAAACATATGCATGTAGGAGGGGTAGAGGAGGAGGAGAGATTAAGTTAGAGAGAAAGAGGAAAATGGAAACTTTCCCCTTTCTCACCCTAAAGGGGCTTTAGGGTGTTTGAAACTTTGAATGGATAATGGGGTGTTTCTATTTTCTGTCGAAATTTCAATTTTTAATTAGTAGGAGATTAAGTGGGTATTTGGAAATGAGAAGGGAGAGAGGGAGGAAGGGAGGTTTACTTTGTTGCCTAGGGTGGTGCTTGCGCGTAGGTGTCGCATATGGCTTTGGTATGATAATTTTAAGGGCACATATTTAGTAACCTTATTTTAGGAACTCATCACCCTACTGCAACTAAATTCAACAATATGCATAGCAGGAGGTCAAGATTATGTTATGTTATGTTGACTTTAACTTATGTGCATCGAATTCATTAAGATTACGTATACAAATTAATTCATTCATTATAATATATTCATGTCTAAATTTATTTTATCTACCAACTTACAAATATAAAGTTGTAAGCATGCACATGTGATTTCACCGCACTTTGAACAAGTCCTACATCAAAAAAAAATGAAGAGAGAAGACAAATGGGTAACGAAAGTGAACTCATTCTTTATGCTTTTGTTGCCTCCTCCGGCTCGATCCATAGTGCAAAGTCAAGAAGTCAAACGCGTGTGAATAGTAGTAAAAATTTATTTATTTTGTAAGCATGATTTTGTTTCTACACGTGTCACAAAACTGTATCTTTCTGGCTGTCTGGTCCTCAACCATATGGTACAGGTTGTCCTTGATTTCTTTTATTTATTTCCGTGGGAAGTATAGGTTGTCTTTTAATATAATATATGAAGATGTAAGAATGAGTTAGTTGGGCCATGACCGTGACTCAATGAGTGATCGAGTATTTGATGGGTGCTGCACGGAATTCGTCAAGCCTATCACTGGATACAACCACATCCTCTACCTCCTGAAGAGGAAATGAAATTCCTTAATTTGATACGTCGTAGCCTTTAACCCTCATTTGATTATTATAAACCCGGCCATATATCTAACACACATTTTCGAACCAAACAATCACTAATTATAACTCCATGCATCCTTAATCTCTCTTAATTAACCATCCGATCACTTGGATTTAGCATCATAATCCTACTTTCTGTGATTCTATGGCCGGCCTCAACATACTATATATATGTAAACCCCGAATCATCATTCTACTATCGCAATTCACAATTCCCAAGCTCAGCTTAATTTAAAGGTAATTAATGGCTAAACACTACTTCAAGCTCAAATTCCCTCGGGTTATTCCTCTAATCCAATTCTGTCGTCCCAAACACCATGCCACTTTACCGGCAATTTACCGGCTGTCTCCCGTCAACTCCAAAGCCTTGGACATCGGCTACCCCAACCTCCTCCCATCCCCACCACCGTCCACACCCGAACACCCCTCCATCAAGCGCCGCGAGTCAACCAATATGAGGACCAAATCCTCCCGCATCGGCTGCGGATCATGCAGGTCCAGGTCATGCACGCGATATATCTCTGACTGCAACGTCGAGATCAAATCATCTGCAGATTACGAGCGCAACAACAATTATATGTCCCCGATTTCGGAGACCGAGAAGTACTACAAAAAGAAACGCAAGGAGAAGAAGAAGAGAGCCAAAGCGAAAGCCGAGCTTCCTTTTATAACTACTTCTTCGGGAAACTACGGTAACTGGTTCAGCGGCGAATTCGAAGGAGACGAAGAAAACAACGAAGAAAGCGAAACTCCAGTTTACTCTTCCAGAAGCTTCTCGAACGAATTCTCACTAGTGTTAGAGAGTATAGCAGAGAAAATGTCAGACAAACAGAACAGCCTGCAAAAGAAGAAGAACAAGAAAACTAATAATGTTGATTATAATAGCAGCAACACAAAGAAGGTTCGGAGAGCCAATTCGGATTCGGATTTGAAGAAATTGACGAGTGGTGAGATTGGGAGGATAAAGACGCTGTTGCGGCCGATGAGGGCGTGCAGGGGAAAAGCAGGGAAGGTGAGAGAGAGCATGGCGGTGGTGAAGAAGTCGGAGGATCCGTACGAGGACTTTAAGAGGTCGATGATGGAGATGATCATGGAGAAGCAGATTTTCGAGGCTAAAGAGTTGGAGGAGCTTCTTCACTGTTTCTTGACTTTGAACTCCCGCCACTATCAGAGGGTTATTGTGGAGGCCTTTTCTGAGATTTGGGAGCTCTTGTTTTCTGATCCTTCAGACCAATTGGGAAAGTTGAAGACTGAATATAAATATATATAAGATGCCATATGTTATGAACTTATGATGCTATATCAGAAATCAGAATCATCCATTTTCAATTTATACAAAGTAATGAATGTTCTGCGGAAACAGAATTGAGATGAACCTTGCCGGAACTACAAGCATTCTATAATATTAAATTGTGCAGCCTCAATCATGCAGAAAATAAAATATACATGTACAACAAGCAAGCAAGCTTTTCAAGTTATTTAAGCAGAAATTCCTGCTCTTGATCGCCATCAATTCCCGGAAATGATGCCCTGTCGTTCTCAAAAAATTTGACATGACACAGCTTTTCCCCAGCTTCATCAGCAAAAGTAATCTTCTTTTCCTTGTTTGCAACGTTCTCAGAAGCATTAGAACCATTGTCAGCCAATTTCTGCAATTGATGAACGGAAATGATCAAAATGATGCCATGGACCAAGGAAAAATTATACAAAATAAATCAGGATGAGGAGCAAACCATGATTTTACAAAACCGGTTACAGTCCCTCGACATCATGGAAAGCAATCTTCTAGCAGATGCTTCAACTCTTGTTACATTCTTAAGTGCCATCCTCGCCTGCCACCATTCAAAACTCATACATGAGCATAAAGAATTCATGCGCATTTGCACAATAAAAGGGTGCAGCAGCAAACGTATGTGAAGAAAAAAGAATATTGGCGTACCTCATTTGCATTGTATCTCAAGGATGTGGCAGGATAGGCTTCACGCTGTAATCTTTCTTCTGCAATTTCCTTCATGGTCTTTAACTCATTTGACAGTTTTGTTGCAAGACATTCAATGTCATGCATCTGGCGTTGTGAGAATGCAATGGCACTCTCTGAACAGGCTCGGATAGAAGTGCATCCTGTGCTAAAACGCGGTGCTGCAGCAGAAACATTAGAACCTTTAGGGATGCCTTTAGGATGGGAATGAATCTTCTCATATTTGGGATTCCTGTTGTTTTGCGTTTTGATAGCTCTCCTGATCTGATCAAGGCCTCCAGCTCCACCAATTGTATTCTCGGCTTGTTTTCCAAAACACAGATTCCCCTTGCAAGCTGAAATAATTGGAAACACATGAAAGTCAAATACATGGAGAATGAAAGAGAAATAACAGCATGAGGGATTTGATATACATTTCGAACCATGTGATAAATGGAGTAATGATCAGAAAACCAAATAAAATTTCAAAGTACCCAAAAAATTTATCGGCATCTCGAAATGATTTTATTCAGAAAGGAAGTTTAAACATTAAGAGGCTTTAATAAAATTGTGTTTCTTTGAAAAAAATAACAGAAATGAGTAGAAACGGAATCTACACAAAGTTGTAGAGGACAAGGTGTCGTTTGACAAACCAAACCTAACAGCTACCGAAGAAGGCATATAAGTTGCACTGCAATTAACAGCCATGAGCATGTATGAATTGCAACACAATAAACAGCTTTTAAATAACAAATAACAAACTTTAATCCCTGCACCTTCTTCCCCAATGTTATCAAAAGTCCCACTCCTTTCCAGCCACAATATCAGAAACACAGCAAGCTAACCACATCTCCCTGAATCAAATTGAAAAGAAAAAATACACAGCCCCCAATCTGGACACCAAAACTTTTTTTAATTTAATTAAAACAGATGGAAAGAATTCTGGACGATCATAGAATACACCCTGTTGTCTACTTGGCCACACGTCAACAGACTACAAAACCACAGTAGAGAATCTGAAAGCACAGGTGGAGATCCCATTCAACCCATCAACTGGCTTTCTTCTAACCAAAATATATATATATATTCCATGCTAAAGCCTCAATTTTGTTAATAAAGTCAAATATCTAATATACTTTTAAAATTAAACTTCAACTTTACTGTATACTTGTAGCATCCTAGCTCACAGAGTATGTTATGATTGTAAGCATTCGATAGGCACAACATGCTTTGTACTTACTGCGATGCATCTTTGAGATATCTTCGTCCTGTAACTCAATTGACTTCATAGCCTTACACAATTTTTCTTGGGAAGCTGGTGAAATGATCTGAACATGAAAACAGTTCATAAGAAACAACCTCCACACTACAATAAAGCTATATACACAGCCAATAGATATTATGTACCTTTCTGGTCTGAAAGAGCCTTTGAGGAGGACGTTGCTGCTTTAAATCAGGACTCCCACCATTCACCAGTGTTGTAAGCTCGTCATTAGCATCAGAAGAAAAGATCCCCGGAGACAAGTTTCTTTCTGCAACAGCACAGGGAAACGTTTGGGATTGCTTCTCCTCCTCAGCCATGGGAGAATCAGCAGCAGCAGAAACCAAACAGCTACCAGAGCCCAAGCCACAGTCACTAATGGAGCTAGCACTGGCTTCAACATTAGACGTTACATCAGCTCTGTTGTCAGCCTCAGGCAGGCATCCATCAGTTCCATTAATAGGTCCCCTGCACTGAAAGGAATCATCAACAGCCATATTGGACATTTGGACCTGGGTCTCGCTGTTAGTCTGGTATAACCTTTCATCCTCGGAGGAAAGAGTGTCATGTGTATCAAAATTATGATCTTGCGATGAAGATATTGCTTCAATGAAGACGTCAGGGTGAACAGAATCCGTGATATATCCTTCTATGTTATATTCTAATAAAGGAAAATCGAAGCACTGGTAACTGGTTATCTCTGGATCATCCGCCTTAATAATATCCCAACCTGAGGTAGTTAGAATCTGAATTGGCGTGGGATTATCATATTCCATATCTTCGTACCAGTCTTCATCAACACCACAAATCTGACTTTCTTTTGTTAATGAAATTGGTAACCCAGTCCTGGAAACACAATCAGCAGCTGTCTCAGGTAATTCATTAGGCATCACTTCACAAGAACCCACCTGATTGTCACAAGCCAAAGAGGTATTACCAAGAAAACAGGTTGTGTTTTGGAAATCTGAAGAATCAGTTTCAGGAACCTCTACTTTAATGTCAAGAACAGGTGTAGGCACATCTCGACTGAATTGGAGTGTCTCCAGCTGACTTGGGATGTGTTCCAATTTGGTAGTCAATATGGCACTTTGAGACATAGTAGAGACACAATTTTTCACACGCTTGCTCTTAGTCTTGGCATTTGCCTTCTTTGAGAGTTTAACTTTCCAATTACTAAGAGGCTCTATGAGATCACAATCCTCTTCATCAGTTTGCAACTCAGAATACTCTTGCTTTACAGGGTAGCACATTTCAAGTTTTTTGTTCAAATCAACAGATTTTGAACGTTTTCTTTTCTTGCTCTTGCATGTCTCTTTGATCTGCTTCAGTGTCATATTACCAAAGCCATCCAAATAATCTCTTCCATCATTGTTGTCGCTACTATTAAAACCAGAATCTTCACGTTCAGTTTTGATTGTTATATTTCGCACAGTACAGTTCCTTGTACTTTCACCCATGACCCAATCCCTGTCCATAAACAAGCCCCTGAACTCATCTTTTGGGGGAATTGCTGGAAAAGAATCACCATTTTTGGCATCTAATGTTTCACTTATGTCTATCAACTTCTTGAATTTGAGAACTGGCCTTCCACGAGCCACATTCAGAGTTTTTACCGGTAAACCACCTTTCAGAGCTTGGATGAAATGCAAATGAGTGCAACTTCTTAACTCCATCAGAGTTTTTACCCGCAAAACTCAATTCTTCTTGTTAGTACTGGAATGATCGTTACAATGCATGAGACGCTTTTCCTGCAACAAAGGCCAACTTTACTCAATATAATGATAGTTTCAATAATGGAAACCATCGATTTCATCACATACAAGGTAATGCAATGTAACGCCCAAAGAAAAATAAACAATAAACGATATGAACATGCAGTGAAATGCATATTTACACATATAGTATAACCATAGGATTGCTAACCATGGTAATAGAGACACAGGAAGAAAAGAGTTTGCTGGAAGTTTCTAAGAGCAGATGGGAAAACTGAATGATGTATTTCTTACTGAATCGTTTTTACAGTACAGTGTATATATATATATATCTACTTAGTCTCTTTGCTTAATGAGTAAATAACCGTGCTAACAGCTGACAGCTAAGCTAACCAACCTCCTAACAATTCTAACAGCTCTAACCAACTCTAACCATTGGGTAAACAAGGATATCATGAAATACTAAACAAATTGTTCTCAGAGATAAAACAAACTTTGCAGAATTTGATTACATAAGTGGGTCATTATGGGTAATTACAAATTGATCAAGTACGCTTTACATTTTTCAACTAATTCTTAGTTCTCAAACTAGTACTGCAAAATGCACAACAGCCTGAAAACACAGATACCCACTAAGTGGAAAAGCAAAACAAATCTAATTTCAGTAAAGAAGATCATGTGTCAAGCTTAGAAGCAAGGCCCATACCTTAAAAACTTCATATACAATCCACACACCAAATCACACTAGTGATAAAAAAAAATTCCGAGTATTGAATATTCCAAAACGATTAAATCAAACTATTATATCAACACGAAAAACATAAAAGTGACCAGTAACTATTCTAATTTAGCAGCACGTATCGTAACAGTAATTTAACGAAAACCAAACCCTAAGCTCCAAAAAGATGATGATTAAAAAAACTGAAAGACAAAAAATTTACCAGATTCCTCCACGAGGAGCACCACTGCTGCTAGGTCTTTGCTCCAGCCAATTGAATCGGAGACGCCTGTAGGGAAACAAACACTTTCAGACGACCCCCATATTACACAGACGAATTTAACTTTAAATAATTCGTAGATCCAGAATATTAAAAATGAAAACCATAATTGAAGCCCTAATCAATTAGTGGGCTTCAACTGTAAACAAATCAAAATCAAAACTTCAAAGTGGAAATTAAAATTAGAAACTTAGGTTAGCTAGAGAGAGATTACCTTCTATAAGATCCCTCTGTTTGGGGATTCCACACCAGCGAAGAATGGCAATAAGAATAAGGGATAGAAAGAGGTAGGTGAGAGGGAAATGGCGCAAACGGAACCACAGAGAGAAAAGCTGATGAGCTGAACAGGCTGGGCTTGTTTGGAGTTCCAGTGAGAGCGAAAGGAGGAGAAAGTTGAGATCTGAGAGGTAGAGGGCCTGCAAGGGCTTTAGCTCGGGGAAATAGGGTATTTAGACAAAAGCAAGCGCGCCGAATTCTGTTTGGCGGGAACTCAAACGTTCTCTCCATTTAATATTCGGGTGGGAAAGGGGATAATAGGGTACAAAATCAAGTATAGGATTGATGATACGATGTTCATATCTAGCCGTTGATCTCTCGCTCTCTCTCTCTTTCGTTCTTTTTCTGTTCATATCTAGCCGTTGATCTCTCTCTCTCTCTCTCTCTTTTTCGTTATTTTTAAACAAAAATTCGTATTTTGCAAATAGTAGTAGGTAGGGGCAGGATGGGAAATGGAAACATACTTTTTTAAGAAACAAATCACCTTTTCTACTTACGATATGTTAAATGTTAAATCCTTAAAATAAAATTAGAATTTAGTAAGTGTATTAACAAACGAATATGATAAAATTTGAAACAAAACATCATAGCATTTACAATGGTGAAAGTCATTTTAATTTTATTTTAATAAATTGAATTTTTAACTTGCAGTTGTAAAGTTCAGTTAATTTTAAATATCAATATTTCATTTCAGAGATCAATAGTTCATTGAGGCACTAAATAGCTCCGCCTGGAGTTCGACTTGTCTCTGGCCACAAAGTGCTTCCAACGAGTTTCGAACCTCTGCCATTAAGACACTAGCTCACCAGTTGGAGGTGGCAATACATGGTAGCCCTACCATTACAGCCTCTCTCCTATTAATACATGGATAACATTACTTTTTACTTTTTCTATTACATTTAATTTGTGTAAACTAGCCGTTACTTTTTTTTTCAAAGCAACTAGCCATTTCTGATTTATTTCCCTATTAAAACAAACAAACATCTAATTAATATATATACTAGCCATTACTAATTTGTTTCACTTTTCAAAAAAAGAATAGCTAATTATATATACTAGTCATTGCTAATTTATTTCACTTTCCAAAACACAAATGGCTAGTTCCCTTTTCAAACATATTTACCCATAAATACAGATGTATAAAACAACTCTCCCACAACTTCCTACACCCACAAAAAATTATTTATGTTGAAATTTATTTTTCAATAAAAATATATATTGTTTATGTTTAAATTTTATTTGTTAATAGAAAATTTTGTTTAAAATATATATATATATTCAACATTGGTATCTTTTTAAAGATCTCTTTAAAACCATTTTAATTTTATAATTCTTATCGTAATTAACTTTATTCATTTTATTTTTTTCAATCATTTGAGCATAAAACCTTCAAATACTAGTTGATTTGAAGATATATCAAATATTAATTAAACATTATCACTAACTAGCAAATAGTATATTGAGATACATTTTATCACTTAGTTTAGAAAATAAAAATAAAATGATTATGAGAGCATTAAAAATGGTTACTCATTAGGGATCTTTTTGTTCTAATAGCATGACGAATGGGCTTAGGATGCCGAAAAAGAGAAACAGGTGGAGCTGCCCCTTGTATTTGAGTTCAAGAACCAGGCTCCAAGAATGTTTTGAAAATTTCGTGAGAACCTTAGAAAACACCCTGGGTATCTTTCACCAATAAGCCAAATGCACGTGGCAAATTATTCATATGACTTGCTTGAGGAGCTTGTGGCATGAGAGCTAAGCCTTCACAAGTTTAACAATTTGAGAGAGAGAGAGAGAGAGAGAGAGAGTTAAAGGCATGAACTCCTTACATAGAGAAAAGGTTCAGAATGGGGAAGAGGAAAATTAAGAAGATGTCTATCTTAGGAAGAGGGAAAGCAATGGAAGTAGAAGACAGGGTGTCTTGAGTAAATTTCCAGTTGCTTGACAAAACTTGGTCACGCTCTGGATGATTATTTTTGCTGGGTAGAGAAATCTCCCTTTTATAGGCACTTAGAACCCTAATTATATCGATCCTCTATTCCTACTTTTCCTTTGTTTCTTTCTATTCACTCATTTTTGGTGAAATTTCTTTAACCAGAGTGCACAGGTCACAGGCTCTTTGGGGTTACAAGGTTTTTGTGTGGCTAGACCTCCCATGTGGGGGTAAGGCGCCACCCGCTTTCTTCATTGGTTTTCAAATTAGAGCTCATAGAGGAAAAGAGAATGGGTAGAGTCATTTGTCCAATGGGTACTCCTCCTACACATATGAATTTCCTTCAGTTCCTGCAATGGCTTCTCGTTGACTGTTATGGAGCTTTGACAATGGTGGAATGCAATGCTAGATTTTTTACAAGGCGCTGGGTTGGGCTTTGTTTACAGTATTGGGTTATTGATACTCTATTCCCAGCGTCCTATGGTTTTTCGTCAAGCTGTTTGAAGTAGTTCATTTGCTTTATTTTGGGCGTTTTAACTGATGTGGGATTGTATAAGTATTGCAGCAAACTATTAGATGTTCTCCTAAAGCATTAGATCACTTTTTTTCCTATCTCATGTTAACCCATGTGTGTTGGGCCCGAGAAATGAGTTTGAGTTTTAGTGTTCTCAAGTGGCCTAAAACCTTTATTCTTTGAACCATCAATGGGCCCTATGAGTGCTTGTTACCATCCATACCACAACCCACTCAGCAAGTCCGGGGCATTTGTGTGGCCTGGATCCACTTAAGTTTGTAGCATGGCGTGTTACTTATTTGTGTGGTGTGGTATGTGTGCAAGCACATACGACGAACTTTCGTGTGCTTCAACTGGTTTTTTCTCAATAAAATGTCGCACTGGGCTAGAAATATTTTTAGGCCTAGCCTTGGATTTGTTGGGCCTCAACAGATGCATGCCTTAATCCTCTTTCATTTTATTGTTTTTAACTAAATTTACAATTATTTATGAGATTTAATTACAAATCTTAAATTTTCATATATATACATTTCATTCATTTATTTCATAGTTGTCGTTCATCTTTCGTCATCATTATTATTTGTCGTTCATTATAGCTAGAATATTTTCTTTTAAATGTTTACATAACATATATACGAAAATGTAGTTAGTCATTGTAGAAATGTGAATGTCACCGTACATTACATGTGTATTGTCTCTTTGATAGAGTAGATACAGTGTTGTTGACCATTTCTTTTTTGTTTTTTATCGAAAGTTTTTTTTTCATGAGTTATAATTATTTTGTTTTCAATTAGGAGAATAAAAGCTCGCCCACACATTCCTTGAACCTCTCACACCCCAAGTCAATGCAAAATAAATCTCCGACAAAAGACTCAAAGTTTCAATACTATATTTATTGCAATCCTTTAGCAATAAAATTAGGCTGTAATTAAATTTGGGACAATAATTAGGCTGTAAAATAATTACAGCCTAATTTTATTGCTAAGGAATTGCAACAAATATAGTGCTAAAACTTTGAGTCTTGATTTTATCGAAGATTTATTTTGAGCCACAATAGTAAGGAAGAGTAAGAACTAAGAAGGGAAGTATTGTCATTAAATTTGATTTATTTTCGTCTTGTTTATTATCGAAAATTATAGATAAATAGAAACGAAAATTTATAGGTGAAAAACCCGAAAAGGACACGAAGAGGCGCCACCAACCAAAACTGACATGCCCAAAGTTAATCGGGAAAAACACCAAATAAAACAAACATTTGCGTTCACAAAAACACTCATTTGAAACCCTCAACAACATCCGTCCTCACCTTCCCACCTCGTTAACAATGAAGGCATCTCTGAAGGGCAAGTACGAGACAGACAAGAGCAGCGCGGCTGCAAACATCTCCGTTTTCGCCAGCGATGTCAAGTTCCGAGCTTCACTTACCGACGCCACCTTCGCCGCCGGACCCAGCTTAAACGGCTTGGTTCTAGCCGTAGAAAAACCCGGCTCCTTCATCGTCGATTACAACGTTCCCAAAAAGGTAAACAGATTTTGACAACTGGGTAGTGTAGGAATTGGGTGCACTGAGTGATTTTAACTGTGACTCTGGTGTCTTTGGGTGTGCAGGACTTTAGGTTTCAGTTCTTGAACTCAGTTAGGGTTGCTGGTAAGCCGTTGAATTTGAATTACATTCACAGCAGAGGTGACAATAGAACTATTTTGGACGGAACCCTGGTGCTCGATTCGGCCAACAAGGTCTCGGCTAATCACGTGCTTGGCTCGAGGAATGGCAAGTTCAAGTACTCTTATCTGCACGGCGGCGTGACCACGTTTGAGCCCTCCTACGATTTGGCTAAGAACTCGTGGGATTTTGCGGTTTCTCGGAGGGTTTATGGTGATGATGTGTTCAGGGCTTCGTACCAGACGTCGAGCAAGCTGTTGGGGTTGGAATGGTCGAGGAATTCAAAAATTAATGGCTCTTTCAGGGTAATTGACTTTTGTTGTTGAGATTTCTTGGTTCTTTGTTTGGTTTTTTCTTTGCTTTATCTACTTGCGTTAGAAATTTGAATTATCAACCAAGCATGCGCTTTGAATTTTGGATTATCAATTTAAGGAGAGCTGTCTGTTGCGTGTTGCTTGCTTTCTGATTCTGGTATGAGCTTTCGTTCTGTAATTTAGTGTGTAATAGCTCAATTGTGCTTCAATCTCTGAATGTATATATCTATGTATGTATTTTGTCATGTGGTAAAATTGTTTCCATTGAAGGCTTCCCTGAGTTTTCACTTGAGATCCAATGAGACAGGGAGGTAATGGGGAATAGGATATGCTTTTATCACTTCGAACAGTTAGTTGATGGCGTGTAGTATGCATGTTTTCGAATCGTTGAGGTTCATTTCTAGTATACATTCAACATGATTATACCCTCACCTACTGAGGTGACAGGCTAGTTTTGAGGGAAATCTAAATCTGTCAAGGAATTGAGCTAACCTTAATTTGGGGACACTAGGCGACCTTGTCCTTTCCTGATGAGGGTGCTATAGGAGTTGATGATTGTGAAATTGGGAGTGATTTGTGACACTCTGGAAAGGGCGCTGTTGAAAGGGCTGCATTTTGGAACATGAAGGTGAAGTTTTGGGGATTTTATATCCTTTGGTATGTCGGTCAGCCCAAGTACATAGTATAGGCATATAGATTTCTTGTAACAGTTTATCCCATGAATTTACGAGGAATTAGGATCAACAGGTCTCAACTCAAGTCTGTTGTAGAGGCAAGGGATCCAACTTTATTCTATCTGTTGCCACCTATTATGAATTCTTTTAATCTTGTATATTGCCAACAGGGGTTAGAGGTGTTGAGGTTTTGGTAGTGACGAGGGCTATGTCAGTGGTTTTTCTTTTACTAGTGGTGAGTTGGATTTAGTTGTTGGTGGTGGCAGCATCAAAGGTGAAACCCACTTGTCCAAAATGGGAGTAGTAGTCTTTGTGTGGCGGAGACGACTGCAATGATCGATAGTGTCTATAGTGTCCTTGCAGCGGAGGAGTTCAATTGTTTTGAGTCTAAATACGTGGCCATCCAATTCTTGGGAATGTTAAGAAATGCTGTTAACTGGGACAAACTGGCTTGTGATTTTTCTTATGATGGGACTGTATTGAGAATTCAACATGTATGTTTGTGCTTAATTTGTAGCTGTGTGGACTCTGGTGTGGAACTATTTTTAGGTTTTAACTTTTTGCTTTTTATTGTTTTTGAACGGTACTGGACTCAAGCTTTTGCTAATAATGGTGTGCTTGCATTTTTTCCAGGTTTTAGCATCCGTCAATTTGGCTGAGGAGCAAAAAATCCCAAAATTAACTGCTGAGAGTACCTGGGATTTCGAGATGTGATTGTTATAGTAATTATCTTGTTTCATTTGTCATCAAAATTTCGTAGTCTGATAAACTGCTTACGATTGTCTCCTGATGGCTGTAAACATCATTTTGTCATTGATTAGTGTGTTTTCATCATTGGGCTGATTCACCTGATATCTCCAAAATATGAATTGTGGATCTCTCATGTTGTGAGTAACCATAAATCTTCATTCGATATCTGAAATAATTCTCTCTTGGAGGAACCGCAGGTTATTTACGACTTTTTATACTGAAATTATACATCTTTATTGGCTTGAGAATGGTCTTCAGAACTTTTCTAAGGAAGTTAATATTGTGATTCAAAATCCCTAAATAAGACAAATTGGATTTTCTCCTATTAGAGAGGCTAGAATGAGGGGTCCTTAATAGCCGTTTGACCCAGTGCAAAGTTATTATTGCACTGTTAACTTGAACTCCATCATTGTAATTCCTCAACATAATCTCTTGTTACAGAAGCTCCCATCTTCATTTGGTTAAAAAAAAATGCTATTTTTCTATAGCAAAGCAATGAACTGCTCCGGCCGAACCTGTGGACTGCTAATCGAAAGGGGGCCTTAAAGCCCATTATCTGCTTAAGTGGAGCCCAAAATCAAACCTACCATACTTCGGTATTATAGGGCACGATCTCGCCCTTTAATCACAACCGTTTACCAAAACGTAAAGAATCTGACGGTCCAGATGTTTCGTCATGAAAACAGGTAATTTTGGCGGTACTAGCTTCACGAAAAGAATTTTGAACCATTTGGCGCTTAAATTAAATCCGAGAAATTCCTACTACCACTAGGCTTACAACTGGACAATAGAAAGAAATCACACTGCGGTTATTTTTCTCAGGAATTAGAGTAGATCCGCCTTAAAGTTCCATTGTCTGATAAACCCTAATTTTTTTTCCTTCAACTATTACGCTGAGAAATTCATTGCAGAGATGGACAGCGACGAAGATTTTGAGCTCTTTTGCGAGGAGGCTGCCCCTCCAGTCCGTGAAACGAAGTTGAAGCGCTTAAAGAAAGCAGTTAGGAGGGGTTCCATTTCTGAAGAGCCTCTCCTCGATAAATCTGAAAGTGACCGAGTGAATTCCTCCGAATTTGAAGCCCTCAGTTTGGAGGAATCGAATGAGCCATCGAGGTCAAGGATCGGATCGGAGAGTCTGCGTGGTGAGAGTGAAATAAATCCCGGTTTCGATGGTTTTGGTGGCGAAGCTGAAACGAATTCCGGTTTTGATGGTTTGGGCGGCGAAGGTGAAGCTAATTCTGGTTTAGATGGTTTGGGCGGTGAAGGTGAAGCTAATTCTGGCTCTGATGGTTTGGGCTGTGAAGGTGAAATGAATTCGAGTTTCGATGGATTGGGTGGTGGGGAAGATGGATCAGGAGCTAAGAGGGTCTTGGATTTTGGGTCTGTAGTTGAGGAATTCCGCGAAGAGGGTGAAGATCGAAGCCAAGAGATGCCAGAAGAAAGTGGGGATATGAGGATGAATGAACCGGAGAAGAAACGGCGTAGTTCTGATTGCTTCGAGGAAAACAAAGACAAGAAGAAGAGTAAGAGGGCCAAGAGTGAAATCACCGCTGCCAAGGGCAAGAGGAGAACCGAAAAGGTATTCAGTTTTTTCACATTGTATCCATAAATTGCACTGCAATTAGTTTATCTTCTTCTGATTATGTCGTATTGTTCTGATCTTATAGGAAAGACGAGATCATCTAAAGCAACTCCATGCTGAATCTCAGAGACTTTTGCGAGGTATAAACCTTGTCTGGAGCTTATTTTATATAAATTAATACATGTGTATCTTCAAGTAATGCCAATTATATTAGTACTCATTTATAAATTATTGTAGTTATTTGTGTCTATCTACTCACTTTGCACATCTTCCTCCTTGTTAGAAACCAGAGATGCGGCATTTAAACCTATACCACTTGTTCAGAAGCCGATATCTTCAGTTCTGGAGAAGATTCGGAAAAGAAAACTGGAGGTTTTGCAGAAGTTAGTATTTTACTAATGCATCTAGAAATGATCTTAGGATTGCTGTTTATTCAAATAATAAATATCATAGTAATATGTTATTGAATATACATTTTGTTGGGAGTGTTGCAGATGCAGTGGTACAGTAATGGGCAGCCAATTGCATGCCATTGAGGAGCCAATTGCATCCCGGACTGAAATGGGTAGTATTGCAAATGGGGTGAGCATGGATCGGTCTAATGATGATGAAGAGCAGTCAAGCGGTGAAAATGTTTCTTCCCAGATGGTAATTAAAGACATGTTTCTTGATCAATTTTGTTTTTGCTTATCTAAGAGTACACTAATAGGATGTTTCTTCTAACCAAATAGTGGGATTTGAGAGAATGTTGCAGTTTTACGAATGAGCTATGCTTATGTGATACCTGAATTATGCTTCTAATATTATGTTAATTGCTGTCAAAATGTTTCATGGAATCCTTTTGATACTTATTATTATGGGAGAGTTTTCTGCATTAGGTTGAGACAGATTTTCCATTCATTATATGGTTGTATTTGTTGAACTGCAGGATGTTGATAAGGATTCCAAGCAAGCATTTCGAGCACCTATTGATGATACTCAGGTTCTTTTCACATTACAACCAGTGTTATCAGTCTTCCAACAGATTGTGCATTTAAACATGACTGTTTCACCTTTTGCACTGTTGTAGGAGCTGTTTTCGGATTCCCAGACTACTGATTCCAAAGATGATCTGCCAAATGATGCTCCCCGCAGCCCTCTGGAAGAGGTTTTTGCACCGTCCATACTTGCAATGAACTTAAAGCTTGACTCTGCGCCTCCTTATGATGTGTAAGTGTTATGAATATGTCTTCATATCTTGTAAAGGGGAAGCACTCAAGTAGTTTGTTTCGTTTTGCATTCCAAATTATCTCTATAATGAAGTAAGTTGGATCACTTCTTTGAGTTTTTCTGATGAATGGGCAATGACACTGTTCTCTTTATAGTTCTTCTGACGAGGAGGACGACAATGACAAAGAGAATATTAATCCCCATTGTACTGGAGTGTCTGACTTGCCTTCATCTCCAATTGGTGATCCTGTCAAAGCTTTTGTGGATGATGAAGCCGAGGAAGAAGATGACAGTGATCATGACCTGTTTCGATTCCAAGATAGTGAAGAAGATGAGGAGGATGGTGATGCTGCAGAGCTTAATGATATGATAGCAACTGGATATGAAGAAAGGCCGATGGATAGTGAAAGACGGAATGAACTCCATCAAAAGTGGCTTGAGCAACAGGATGCTTCTGGAACAGAAAAACTTATGCAGAAACTGAAGTTTGGTTCTAAGCTAAAAGAAACAACGTTACTTGAAGAGAAGGATGCAGATGGAGAGAAAGATGCAGACAGAGAGGAATATGCAGATGGAGAGGAGGATGCAGATGGAGAGGATGATGAATATGGAGAGGAAGATGAATATGGAGAGGAAGATACAAATGCTGTGCAAATGAGCTTAAGACAAATTAAGCAAATGATTCCTCTAATGTTTACCGATAATGATGATGCGTACTTGTCATCTGATGACGATGAAACAGAAAAGAGACTAGCTAAACAGTGCCTGTCTGAGAAAGCTGTGAGTCCTTAACGGTTTATTGGATGCGACTTTTAAACTTTAGGTCCATTATACCATATGACGGTGGAAATTCTTCTTACTGTTTCAATCATGGATCCACTCCATTATATTTGTATAACTGCATGTCATGCTATTTTTTCTGGAAATATTCTTTTAATTTACAAGAATATTTTGATTCGAAACAGGAAGCGCAGGCTACTTTCTTGTCACCAGCAGAGGATGAAAGTTGTAGGGAAGTTTTTGGTTTTATAAAGAAGCTGAATGTTGTGCCTGATACTAAGAAGGCCAAAACACCTTGTAAGATCTGTCATTTGTCATATAATTTATGAGTGTAAAATTTTGCTTTGCACTCTGCTGATTTCGTTGTTTTCCTATTTTGCAGCCTTTTCTAGTGTGCCGCTCATGGGAGGAGACAGGGACATATCATCAAAGGTAACTTGTGGTTCTGGATGTTGAATGCACATATATTCTCTGCATGTAGTCTCCCTTTTGTGTTCAAACAAGCTTGAACCTAGGACACCTTATAGAAATTGATGGAACATCAAGGATGATAAATCATGGCTGATTTTAGCAAGGTTTTTGTACGATGATATTGATCATAAGCTCTGCCATTGGTAAATGTTGCAGTCATCCTTCTTAGGCCGGGGATCTAATCATTCTCTGCCCTCATCCCGCAAGCATGGGTTGGGCACAGTTCGCTCTATAATTTTTGGACGAGGTGGCAGCAATAGTAGGAGCACAAGTTCAGTGTTGGAGGATTCTTCAGATACGGTAGGGTCTATATCCGGAATTGAAGTGCATCTAGTTCTTAATTCTTTCCATATGGTTTTTCTGAAAGTTGCACTAGGTTCTTTAGCAATTTAATTTTCTTCTGGTTGTCAAATCATCAATGGCAAATGGAAATAGGAATAACTTCTTGTTGTTATGCCTTGACTCTTCGGTCAGTACTCAGTATTAGATAGAAACCAAAACCATAAATATTTACCAAATGCTGAAAATGTCTATTGGTTATGGGATGAAATGCAGATTCAGAGAGAGAATCCACCAACCAGGACTGCTTCAGCCAGGCTTAGCAATTCCAAAGTAACGACTAGTTCTCAGAAATTGTCACCTGAAGCTGTTGTGCAGAGAGACTCATCAGCTGAAGCTGTTCCCAAGGCAAACACATCTGCTGAAGCTGTTGCGCAGACAGACGCATCAGCTGAAGCTGGTGGGAAGAATACAGGCACATCACCTTCGTTACTCAAAATATTAAGGCAGTCTTCCTTGCATGCAAAGCGCTGCACTGCGGAGACTATGATTGGCCAAACCCAAATTGAATCCGTCTTAGCTTCGTTCAAGGTGGGCAGGAAACCAGTGCAGACAAAGAGAAGAACTTGATTGTCAAACATTCTTGAATGATGGTGACGTGGACAAACTTTTTAATTGTAGCTCTTTGTAATCCTTGTCCCCTTGATCCGTTAAAAAATGCATCAATTAAAGCATAGCTGACATTTTACCATAAGTTGTATACCAGAGTCCCATAAGAGGTGACGAGTTATAGCACCTGCCGGTATTACGATACCACACTGCAATTACTGGTGAGGAGGCCATTGCGTTTCGAAGGGACAATTTGTTATTGTTTTGGGGTTTTGGAAAAGGGAAAGAAAATGATGTGCGTCCATAATTCCATGCGAGGAGCGAGGGCCAAACTTGTCCCCGTGGCCCAAAGCAAAAAGCTTAGGAACCATTTGCGTGTCACCTTGTTAGAGGTCAATGAGCTGGTAACATCTGGTATACGGATAAGTCTGTTGCCACCGAATCTTTCCTATCTATTACATAATAATTACGCCGAAAACTGAAATTGTTGCCCTAAAATCGAAAATCTAAAATCCAGAGTCTGAAATCCAATCTAGCTCCGTACTAAAAAAGAGACCCAAGTCAAAAGCTCATAGGTCCCCAGCTGACCCGCACACGACCGCTCCGCAGATTCCTCGAAATCTAACACAAAACTTGATCCAAATCCTTCAAATCGCAGATCCAAACACGTCGCAGATCCGTAGCTCAAGCTCTGCTCCAATGGCGGAACTCAAACACTAGCGAAGCAAAATGATTTCCGAGCTGTAATATAGCTTCTTCTGCTCCAATGGCGATTAGTTCCATCAAAGGCAAGCTCATTTTGCTCTACTTCCTTTTCATTTTTTCTTCTCCCTCCTCTGTTTCTAAGCTTTTCGTGAAATCTAACTTCCACGATCAAGATCCTTACCATGAACCCGAACCCGATCCCAATCAACAACAGCTCGTATTGCAAAGGCTCGAAGAAGTGGTGAAAAACCTGACCGAAATAGTTGCTAGATTAGAACATAAATTATCGGACCCTCCGAAAAGCTTAGCACCTGCCGATGAGGGTTTGACTTTGGCTCTTCAAAAGAAGGAAAGATACGATGGTCACAAATTGATCAAGCAAATTCCAGAAGAGGGCTCTGATCAGCGTAAAATTGGAGAGAGGGCGAGGTCAGTTTCGGTAACCAAGTACAGTCCTTTCTGGTCGGACAGGTTTCAGTTTGTTTCGGCCGTGAAATTGGATTCGCAGGCGACTTGTATTCATGTCCTGCCGTTTCGGGATTTCGAGGGGGTTACTAAGTACGTTGCGGTGGGAGATGAGAGAGGGAGGGTTTATGTGTTTCTCAGAAACGGGGACGTTTTGGTTGAGTTTGATACGTTGTTGGGGTCACCCATCATGGCCATGGCTTCCTTCTTGTCGGTTTACAAGAACGAGAGTTTTGTGGTGACAGGGCATAAGAATGGTGCAATTTTGATGCACAGAGTGTGGGAGGGAGTGAGTGGAGAAGAGTGGAGCTCGCTTGTAATGGAAACTGTGAGCAAGTTTGATACTGGGGAAGATGGATTGACCATTGCTATTTTGGATGTGCACCATGTTGGGAGGGTGAGTTATATATTGGCCAGTGATGTTAGTGGGAAAATTACAGTGTTTCGAGAAAATGGTTCGGTTCATGGTTCCACCATGCCCTCCAGTCGGCCACTTGCCTTCTTGAAGCAGCGCCTTTTGTTTTTGACGGAGACCGGTGCAGGGTCTTTAGACCTGAGGAACATGAAAGTCAGGGAGTCTGAATGTGAAGGGTTGAACCGTTCCCTTTCTCGGTACTATGTTTTTGATGCAACAGAGCGGTCTAAAGCATACGGATTTACATCAGAAGGTGATCTGATTCATGTGTTGTTGTTAGGGGATATAATGAACTTCAAATGCAGGGTTAGGTCTAAGAGAAAGTTTGAGATTGACGAGCCTCTTGCTTTTCAAGCAATAAAGGGGTGTTTGCTTATTGTAAGTGGGGAGAAAGTTTTCGTGTATAATGTTTCTACCCAGCATTATGTTAGGGTAGGTGCCCCTCGGATTATTTTCTCCGCCGGTCTCGATGAGATTAGGTCATCTTTTCTTAATTATCAGACCGTGGATGTTGATGCTGAGAAAAGAAATGTGCTGCCCTTAATAGCCAGTGACCGGGAAAAGCTTGTTGTTCTTGGTCTTGGTGGAGGGTACGTGGGAATGTATCGTTCCAACCTTCCGGTATTTAAGGGTGAATTTAACACAATGCTATGGACCAGTCCTGTATTCTTCTTTGTGCTTTTCCTGTTTGGAGCATGGCAATTTTTTGCTAAGAAGAAGGAAGCACTCACTTCATGGGGACCAGATGATCCTTTTAGCTCAACCTCGGCTACAACAGGAGCTCCATTGGGGGAAAGCAGCACTGGAGATAGGTCTTTTGTGGACTCCTCATCAAGAAATAGTGACATGATGGAGCGTAGAGTTGGTGGTCTCAGAGGTCCATCAAGGAGGTATGCCTCTCCTCCACGGTATACAGGGGCAGCAACCAGTTCATTTAGGCCAGGTACTGCCGATCATAACCCTAGACCATCGTCTGTTGATCCTAATTTTAGAACAGCTTCAGAACTAAAATTTAGAGGTTCCGGGTTAGATTCTTCGGGTTTTCCAAAAAGGAGAGAGAGTTTGTTTGTAAACACCCAAGTGATGGATGATAGCAGTTAGACCTTTATAATAAATTTCATCAACTTTAACTTCAGAGTTTGTTCAAGGCTTAGTTCCTAGACCATTCATTTGGCAAGTCAGGGCCATTTGAACTTGCACTAGCGGTATTTTGTAACACTACTACAAAGTTTTCAATCAAAAATAAAATTATAGAACACTAAATATATTTATAATTAAGAATGTTGTCACTGTATGTTATGCTTTCGCTCTTCCAATAAATGTCATTTGGTACTGCTGAATTATGTTTGTGTTTTTGTTTTATTTATTTAAATATATTTAATGTATTTAACTGTTTGTTTATAAGAAAAATTGGCATTTTCCCTACTGAATAAAAGTTGCAATCTGCAGCAATAAACAGCGTCCTTATCAACAATTTAATTTAAATTCTGTCTTAATTGCACTCGCGAAATACCAAATTAAAAAGCAATGATAAAATTCATTTCAAGTTGCCTTGCAAAGTACATAGGTGTAGGAAGTTATGCATAATGGTCAGTGGTCACTAGGAAATCTATCAAAAGATCTCCAGGTCCGATTATCAGGAGGGATCTGGTCAGGCGCTTTCCGTTCAACTATTAAAGCGACCATAGCTATATGTCAGCAAAACCAAGTGTTTGAGAAACCTATACTTTCACATAAAAGCCCTGATTTTCTTGACGAAGAGTTCAGGACCAGATAGATAAACTAGATTTGGAGGTCGGAAGAAAGCAGCAATGGGTTCGACGTTGCTTAGCCGTTGAACATTCGAAGCTTCATTTATGCCCGTTAAATTTTGCGCATCAACCACACAACAGAGTGAAATAACTAAGCCATAAAGTTACAACTATATTTAATATGCTCTACTTGAAATGACGGGGCTATGTGACCTCCCTCTTATGGGGGCTGCAAAACAGTGCTTGCCATTAACAGCCATAAACAAGTTATGCACAAATCACCTTCAAGGAGATATTTACGTCTTTTTCACAATATATGAAATTTACGTCTGAAGCTAATCTAAACAATTAATTCTCATAACAAGTAATTCTCAAGAAATTGGAACCGCTACAATATGTAATGGGAAAGGGACAGCTATCAAAATGTATAGAGGTGAAAACAAATTCACTGTTCAATTTCTGAATCAACGTCAAGAAAGATCAGACAGGAATTGGCAAGCCCTTCTTTGCCATGCTGTCCAAGACGTCATTAAGCGCTTGACACAGGCCAACAATCTGCAAATATAGCCAGCAAATAAGAAGAAAATTTGAGCATTTAGATGATACATGTGGTGCTTAAAAACTACCTTACAAAAATGACAAGGCAGACACATTGGCATCAGTATCAGTTTGTGAAATTTGAAATTGGACACTACCATATCTGATGCAAATTAACGCAGACAAATTTACCTGCTGATCCCATTGTTGCAGCTCTTCAGTGTCGTCCTCAAAATGTATGACAGCTTCCACCTGTTATAAACTTATCAGATACATGCCAAGATGTGCGCTAGAATAAAAGATTGTCAAAAAAGCCACATATTTAGAATGGATTACAAAATCAAACATTAATCTGAATCTCATCCCAATAAAAAATTTCCCTTGCATCAAATATTGGAGTTTTAAGTTCCTTATAGTGGAAGCAGCATTCATGAAAACAAAATGAAACTCAGGGTTGTACAGTGGATTGATGAACACTTAACATTCTTCCATATAATGAAACTGGAAGAGGTTCTCACAACTAAGGAGGCCTGATTTCTATGTCATAAGCACTGATGATTTAAAGTCCTCGGTTGGCATACACAACAATTTGTAATTCATACCTGATCAATAGATCCCCTCATTCTGTCCTCATAGATCATTTTTGATGCAATCTTCTCAGCCTGCAAGCCAGATATATAATCCATTTGAGAAACATGAATGGTAATATAGGGAGAGACAAAGAGGGCAGCAAAGTTCCCAATTCGACAGAAGAAAACTCTACCTTATGAGGTTCAATTCCCAGCAAAGTGCCCAACTCATCAAAACTGCCACATAACTCAATTAGACCAAGTTGTCCCCCTAGAATAACATAAATTGAAAAGAAAAATCAACAGCAACATATCTCCAACCTTATATTTGTGTAAAGTTTGCTGGCACTGAGAAGATTATGTTCAATCATTGCACGATCTAACACCGTAAAGTTGTCCGGCAGAAGTGCTTTCTGTTCAGATAAATAAGACAACTGTTATGGCCAGTGAAAAGTAGTTTGCAGATACAATATCTGAAATAGAGGAGAAGAAAGTTTATAACCTGATGCGGCTTTAACTCTTCAGAAAATGCATCAATTTCTGGTTTCCTCAAAATTCTCTCCAAATACACCTAAATATATATCCATTAAAGCAACAGTTAAAGTGTAATATACCGTCAGAAGAAAAAAGTAAAAGATAAAATATATATATATATATATATATATATGAACTAGAGAGCAAGCACCTTTTGTAGTATTGGATAAATTTTTAATTTTGAGCATCTCTCATCCTGAACCAAAACCCCAAGGTATCAGAATAATGTGAAATGGAGAACCACATTCATCTCTCTCTCTCTCTCTCCAGGTAAAGAAATTTACTTTGTACAAAGTGGCAAGAACACGAGAACGTTGGGGTCCTGCTGCGGCCAAAATTGTACACGTAACTGCAGCAGACAAAGCTTGCTCCAGTGCTTCCTCATCAATCTCCCTGAAACAAAATGAATGAACTTCTATGATCCGTCATTCAAATGTTACAGCCAACAAGAATGAAAAAGTGGGGAGGATAATGGGGAGGGGAAAAGCAAACCACAACTATTAACAAGTCTACCAGATAAATTATTCATACACAACATGCTCAATTTGCACTAGTCTAGATCAGTTTAACTTGGCATACTCATGTCCTAATGGCCTCTTTCAGAAACCACAACTATCAAGTCAACCAGATAAACTATTGATACTCACATACAAATCAAAAGAAAATTTTGCACAAGACTAATCAATTCAACTTCACATACTCATCTCCTATTTGCCTCTTTTCAATCTGAGAAAATTCATAATAACGTAATGCTGCCTCCAAGAACCTCCTCTTTAAATCTAAAATCCTCGCATAACAAACCTGATAAGAGGGAAACAGGGGGGAAAAGCAATTAAAAAGTGCTTGTAGTATGTAGACTTTGATGCAAATGTTTTCACTAACTACCCAACAATGTCAAACCTTATACTGTAAATTCAAAACTTCATGCTGAATAGTGGTAATCAAGAATGAAGCTTTATGAATAAAAGCTTCTGCATTGACGGCATCATCATCCTGCAAAACAAACATACAAAAACTTCAATTGCAATTACACTATCACCTATATTATTAGCATCCTATAGACAAATCTTTTGATTCCAACATCAATAGCAGAAACTGTGCATAAAAAAATAGTCATAGTGGATACTGTGGCATATTTCTCCAATGAGAAGGCAACCATCTAGATAAAACAACTCTTAACAATCAGAACATGGGAATGTTAAAGTCATCAAATTGTCTCAAGTTTCTATATGTAGACACTCATAGTCCAGTCTGGTATCTTATCAATTGAGGATCACAACAACCACCATTCCAAATCACAACATTTGTATCAATGAAGAAAAATAAGCCAATACCTCAAGATATAGGCGAGCAATTTGGACACACTTTGATAACTTGAATGTATCATCAACCACTCTGAAGGAATACCACGAAAACACATAGATTGTTAATTCCAGAGTCCATTATGAGAAAAAAATACACCCTAAAAGCAAAAGTATCTTACTATCAGACCTCATTCCAGAGTCTAGATTAATGCCACTGAGCATCTGAGCTGCTTTTGACCATTGTTGCTCAGACTCGTACAATTCCGCGAGTTTCTCTCTTATGATTAGCACCTGCAACACATGAAACCATATGGTACTTTCTAAATCAAAATAACCCCAAAGTTCTAAAATCAAAATAAGAAATATTTCCTTTAATGAATTGATTGGTCACCACCAGCAATCCCTATATTCTATATATGGGAGAATGACATCTACATCATTCCTAACAATGCGGGTAATGTGAAATCCAATCTCAAAGAATTTGAAGAAAATAACTACAAAGGACTGATTCTCGATATTAATATATAGATGGGGACTCATAGAAGTTCCAAACGAACCTGCTCTTCAAATGAAACGGCTCGAATCTGAGAAAGGGCATAATGGGCAATCTCCTTCTGGGTCTCCGGCTCCCACCGCCCTAACTCTTGAGCAAAATTCTGCAAAAGTTGCCGCGAAACCACCAAAGGAACATCCTCCGACAACACTAGAGAGTAGAGTAAGATATATAAGGCTCAACAAGCTGCTAAAAGGAAAAAACAAAGTCTGCAAAAGTTAAGAGAGAGAGTGAGAGTGAAGGAATATAACTGTGATCGATGAAATTCTTGGCCTGAACGACGTCGCTTGAGGAAATCACGGTGGAGAGAATGTGCTTGTACTGCTCGATCTTTTGCCTCTGGTCAGAGATCGCAGAGGCGCTCGCGAAGGCACTCTTCATGGTTCTTCGGCCTTGGCTTCGTCACTGGGGGTTTGGTTATGGTGCAAACCCTAAACCCTTTGAGAAAATTATCGTTCGGTCCACTTCTTCTACAAGGCTACGGTGGCGTTGGTTCCGTAACCTCTTTTGAAAGTTTCAGGGGCTCATTGTAGAACAAGGAGCAGTAGTTGGGCTATTTGCATCCAAGTGCAGTGTTGTGTTACTTTCCAGCTAATCCAGAAACGACACGTCGTGAGTACCAAAGGGTAATTTTGTCACTAGATTATTTGTCCATTGTATCGGGCCCGGCCCGGCCCTTTTGGGTGGAATATTCCTATTTTTGATTATTTTAGAGGAGTGCCATAATAATTTTCACATAAAAAACCATAATGGTTAATTAGTAAAAAAAAAACAGACTACAAAATAAGAAAAATATAAAACTTCATCTGTTTCGACTTTCGGTGCTATTTTTTTTTTTTGTGCAACAACTCCTCACAGGGGAAATAAATAAATAAATGAAGAGGCGCAAACCGCCATCAATTATTTGTTTAATTTCTTTTTAGATACAGAAGTGCATTTAAGAAAGAAAAAAAAACTGGAATACTTGCGGAAACAAAAAGAAACGGAAAATTGTGGTGTAGTTGTATCATTTGGCTTTCTGCAACGGGATCGTTTCTCTCAGGCTCAGGCGACCCTTTGCTTCTTTACCTGAAACGTGAAAACGGAGAACGGAGGAAGAGACATCTCGAGCTTCTGTGAATTGCAAATTGTAATTGCCGGAAATGGATGACTCAGGTTAGTGCCGTTGATCGTTTTACCTTTCTCTCTTCGCTTTCTAGAGTTTAATATTTCCTTCAAGTCGGAGCTGTTTAATTTTTACCGTTACCTTGACGAATTATTCTGTTTCTCGATTCCTCAATGCACTGTTTGGTTCCTGAGAAAAATGGCGGAATGAATTAGAAATTATAAGAAATTAAACTTGAAATCTTACGATCAACGGTTATAGTTCGACATCAAATGACGTTTAAAACATTTCTTTATTTCACTTGTAATCACCAGGAAATTGAAATTTTTTTCTTCTTTCTTCTTTTTAATTTTTTGGTTTTTGCTTCTAATCGTGTAGGGCCTTTTGCATTTGCGTTACTGTTTTACTTTTGGCTTAGACGATCGACAATGGTTTTTTACTTGAAAGCTGTTAGAAACTTCTACTTTTGTTTTGTAGGGTTTACGATTTGATTTTTCTGATTGGATACAGATTTCAGAGTGCCTTTAAGTTGAATTTACCTTCAAATTGAGTAAATACTCTTGAATGTAGAGATGCTTATGTAATTATTTCATATGAACTGATTTGCTTTATTCTTTGAATGTTGATACACCTACCAGGGAATCCTCAGGACGTCAGTGTGCCACCAGTTGAAGGTGTTGCTGGAGGAGGGACGGCATATGGATGGACTGATGGCGGCTTACAAGGTTCAAATCCACACAAGGGATCAGTTGACCCTACAGAGGTTCCAACTGCTGATTTAGTGCATGTGTGGTGCATGCCAAGTACAGCAAATATTGGGCCACAAGAAATGCCTAGGAATTTGGAGCCAGTATGTATTGTTCCATGATTTAAATGGTGTCTTGCTAACTAATGTAATTTGGATTACAATCCTTCAGCAAATGGTGTCTTGCTGATTTATTGTATCAATTTGCATTTGCACATCAACATTTTCTTTCCTGGCTATATGCATATTCACTTGAGACCTACTTTTGTTTGTTCCATTTAGTTTCTGTTAAAATATTTAGGAGATATCATACATTGTAAACACCGACATATTGGTTACTTATTTACTTACTAGAAAAGGGTAAAGCACATGTCCTTCTGTTTTTTGAGGTATTCTAGTCTTCTGGCTTCTAAGGTGGGCTTATTTGAAGGTTAATCTTCTGGCTGCTAGAAACGAGAGAGAAAGTATTCAAATTGCAGTACGTCCAAAAGTTTCCTGGGGTGGTCCTGGAAATGCAGGGGTTGTGCAGGTCCAGTGTAGTGACTTATGCTCCACATCTGGTGACCGGTTAGTTTTTTAAAGTCATATTTTTCTTGCTTCAGGTTTACAATTAATTTTCCGATTCCTTATTTTTTGATATTGGCTGCATGCAGGTTGGTTGTCGGACAATCAATAAAGTTGCGGCGTGTGGTGCCCATATTGGGTGTCCCAGATGCTCTTGTGCCTCTTGATCTTCCAGTTAGTCAAATAAGCCTATTACCAGGGTACTGACCACATTAGTAAGCTTTATATTTGGCGTGAAATAACGCTATAAGACAAGTTATTGCAAAAGACTGACACAATCTGTTTTGTCTCTGCACTGGTGCCTCCAGAGAGACAACTGCAGTTTGGGCTTCCATTGATGTTCCTAGTGCGCAACCCCCAGGACAGTATGAGGGGGAGATCATCATTACTGCTACAAAGGCAGATGCAGAGTGAGTCTATTCACATTTTTTTATTTCAGTTGTTTTGAGTGCTGTGCTTTTGTTTTTACTCAATAAGTTATTACTCTCTTAGCTCTCTATCCATTTAGTAGTATTGAATTCCTTTCCATATACGTTGATAAATGAACACGGAATTTTCTACAATTATTGATCCTGACTTGGACCAGGATCCATTCACAATGTTTGGGCAAATCCGAGAAGCATCAGATTTATAGGGATCTTCGAAGCTGTCTTGAAATGGTGGAGCCCATTGACGGAAAACCGGTGGATGAAGTGGTTGGTTTCCGAATTGAACTTCGTACATAATTGTATTATTCTATTTAATTTTGGCGGTGTTATTAACTGTTCATTTTACCAATTTTCCTTTTTAGGTAGAAAGACTGAAATCTGCAACAACATCTTTAAGAAGAGTTCTTTTGTCACCATTATTTTCAGAATTTGTTTCATATAATGGGCCAGTTGATATGATGGAGGAAGATGCTATTTCGAGCCTTTCAGTACGCGTGAAGATTCATATGACAGTTTGGGACTTCATTCTTCCTGAAACTCCATCACTTCCTGCTGTATTTGGCGTATCCTGTGTCTTAATTAATTTTTTTCTTCTTTCTAAAGTTGGAGATTTGTTATTTAACTTCTGACGTATTTAGTGGTAGTTTGCTCATACAAGCAGAGGTCTAGTCAATATGGAATTTAAAGGAAATAGAGGCAAATGTGCACTAGTTGTTTTAGTATAGGCGCACTAGATTTGTAATCTATACGTGACATGAGCTTAAGAGGGAAGTTCTGAACTATATACTATATTAATTCAAGTAACCGGGAAGCATAAAAACTTATTAGTAAGTGTAGAATTTAGAAGTGGAAACTTGAGAATTTCTGTCTGCAAGATAATACCCACATGTGAAGATGTAGATGTGCTATTCTTATGACAAAGACCAAAGCTCTTTAGAAAATAATATAATGTTCCATGTTCTACCAATGTATGATCCTAATCATGTAATTGCATCTTTAACCAAATGTTAGATATCTGATACTGTAATTGAGGATCGTTTTGGTGTTGAACATGGGAGTGATGAGTGGTATGAGGCATTGGATCAGCATTTTAAGTGGCTTCTTCAATACAGAATCAGTCCATACTTTTGCAGATGGGGTGATAGTATGCGTGTCTTGACATATACCTGCCCTTGGCCAGGTACTTATGAGCAAGCCATAAGTTACTCTTCTATTATCAATTACTTATGCTGTTAGCTCTGATTGCTTAAACTTTCTCATTTTGTTGCCTTTAATAAATGCCTCCTAAGAAAGATGCATTAATTGCTTTACTGAATCTGATGTATTTTGGATCCCTTTATTTCTTTCTGTTGTAGCTGATCATCCAAAATCAGATGAATATTTTTCAAACCCACGATTAGCAGCCTATGCTTTGCCATATAGTCGTTCTGTCTCTGGGTATACAGCTAGTCATCCAAGTTCACTTCTATCTGGTATATGTGTGATGAAAACTGATGAGGTTGTACCCATTTGCTGATGTGCCACAGCGGTGATGCAGCGAAGGATTACATGCAGAAACAAATTGAGATATTGAGGACAAAGTCTCACTGGAAGAAAGCATATTTTTACTTGTGGGATGAGGTATGAACACTATTTTGCAAACTGATAGGAAAGTGAGCTTTTTTGGATTATGTTGATGATTCCCCTATTTCCCTTAATTCTGCTTAAGTTTTTCAATTTAGAATTATTACTTTTTCCAAATGGACAATTAATTTGTAGTAAGTTAATGTGCATGCAATAATATATGCCAGCCACTGAATTTGGAGCAATATGAGTCCCTTCGCAGCATAGCCAGTGAGATCCATGCCTACGCTCCTGACGCTCGTGTTTTAACTACTTACTACTGTGGTATGAATTCATCCGTTCCTTATAATTGAATGTTTTTAATTATTGTATAAAGTTCCATGGGGGTGGTAGTATGACTCTGACTGTTTGTTTTGTTATGGTGAATGCGGTGTATATTTTACTATATTTTGGCCCCTTCTACTTGGCTAGTCTTTTATATTTGAAGATGTTCTTATGTTGCTCTTTTCTGCCATGTAGGACCAAGCGATGCACCTCTTGCACCCACTGCGTTTGAGGCTTTTGTAAAAGTTCCAAAGTTTTTACGCCCACATACTCAAATTTATTGTACAAGGTAGTGTTTTCCATTTGTTTTGTATGTGTTCACTAAGGAACCTTTTATATATGAAAATTTGAAATTAAAATATCTGTGGTATTTGACTTCTGTTGCTTTCTAATTTTTGTTAATGCCAATGTCTGAATAAATACAATTTGGTTTCAAATTTGCAGTGAATGGGTGCTTGGTAATCGAGAAGATTTGGTCAAGGATATTATTGCTGAAATACAACCAGAAAAGGGCGAGGTGATATGACATAAATTTTTCTTGACTCATCTAATTTCTCTGGGGAACTTTCTTAAAATCTGGGCTCCCTTTATTTTATGATTGTGGTCTTTGTTTTTGTGGTTTGAATTTGTTCTTCCTTAATGATTGCAATTAGGAAAACATGGTCACTGTACATTTTCTAAGAATTATGTTTTGATGCCTAGTTATAATCCTTGCATCTCATTTGTTACCCACTGAAGAATGTGAACTTGTCAATGTTGTAGGAATGGTGGACTTATGTGTGCATGGGACCGTCTGACCCCCATCCCAATTGGCACCTTGGGATGCGAGGTACTCAGCACCGGGCTGTAATGTGGCGTGTATGGAAAGAAGGTGGAACAGGTTTCTTATATTGGGGTGCCAATTGCTATGAGAAGGCAAATGTTCCAAGTGCAGAGGTACTTTCCTGGCATCCAGATGATTTATGACATTAATTAACAATTATAAAAAGCTACTTCCTTACAATTTGCTGATAAATGTGCCTTTGAGCAGATAAGATTTAGGCGTGGTCTTCCCCCTGGAGACGGGGTTTTGTTCTACCCTGGCAAAGTGTTCTCATCATCAAATGAACCAGTGGCTTCAGTCAGACTTGAGCGCATTCTCAGTGGCCTGCAAGTAAGTGAAGCTTAATGTGATAATTAGTTTATCCCAAACCGGTTTGTTTTATTCTTCCTTTTCTTCTTCTTTAACGCATATAAAACAATCTTGCACAGCAATCCATGCATAGTTCCTTGAAAATGTTGTTTGGTAATATATTTAAATCATTGATCAGAATTACTGAAACTTTTACCCAAAGAAAATTCATGCTTTTAACAATCAAATTCATTTTCATTATAATTAACCATTAAATTAGTCTTCCTTAAAATTTTACCCAACGTTTATGGATCTGGAGCTCTAAATCCTGATTCTTTTCCTGCTCCAAAAGTTTTGAATTTTAAACTAGTGTGGTGTTTCTTTCGTATAATTCCTGTTTCATGCTGATTAGACATTTGTGTGGGTTATCAGGACATTGAATACCTCAGACTTTACTCTTCAAGGTATGGAAGAGACGAAGGGTTGGCTCTCCTTGAAAAGACTGGTCTGTACCAGGGTCCGGAGCGCTACACGCTTGAGCATATGCCAATTGATGCGATGCGGGGTGAGATATTCAATGCATGCCGGTCATGAGAAAATGCTGTATGCATAAGGGATGTGGTAGAGTTGTTCAGGTCAGGCAAGATTAGGTCTTGATGGTCGGCACACACTTCCAGACATGCCTAGACTTGAGATCAACATTTTTGCAGCCAAGCCTGCACACGATCATAGATGTTTTTGTCTTCCACAACTACCAGTTTTGCATTTTCCTAACTTTCACAATCATTTCATGTTAATGTACAGAGATCATCTAGTCGGATCCCTTTTTTTTAATCCTAAATTTGATTGATTGACTGTATAGATGAGAAACATGAAAAAAGAAAAAATGTTTAGAATCTAGAATCTTCTTGCTACATTTTTTTGGGTACACCCCCTTGTGAAAAATATTATGCAAGCTTTCGTCCATAAATATGAGACGGCCTATTTTCAGCCAAACATCATCTCACTGATAGATCTTGCTGGTTCTATGCATTTAGCAAAAACCCAGAAAACAAGAGAGATATGGGATCTTGATCCCGTAAGGGTCAAATAATTCAAAAGGTCGACATACTCTCAAATCACAAATCACCCACCCTCCCTCCATAGCCTTTTTTTACCTTGAAGAATTAGTAGGCCATTGACTCATGCATTCACAAAGCAGAGTATTGTGGACCCCACACACAGTGCAACAGACCATTATATAACGAAGGGGAAAAAAGGCAAGGGAAGGGAAGGGGGCCATGTAAAAATCAAGATTCAAGGTGGACCTTTTGTAGCATATTGGAATCAGAAAAGGAAGGAAAAGCAACAAGAAGATAATCAAACTGGTGATGATTGCCTCTTGCTGTGTGTAACTGTGCAATCTCATTTAATCTTTTTGATATAATGCCAAGCCTCACAACCTTACAGCTGTGTATTTGTACAATCATTTTTATCTCACTAGTCAAGAATGGATGCATATATAATAAAGGACAATGTTAGGAATGCCAACTTTAGATACGAACTTGTGTACAATCTCTCTAATAGAGCGTGAAACTCATTGTATTGGTGGGCTCTACTTATATTAAAAAGATGGTACACAAGTTTGTATATGAAGTTGATATCTCTAGCATGACCCAGAAAGTCTCCTCTATTAATAAGAGATGCTCAGCCTTTCCTTCCTTTCACCTTGATAAAACTTGTCAATAAAATAAAAGATTGCTTTGAATTTGAACAACATGTTTTAAAATTTCAGCTTTCTATTTGCTTTGAGCCCATAATCATTTCGAATTTTAAACCAAGTCTTTGTTGCAGCACCCTTTGTAGACTCCTGTTTCCTGTCACATCCTGGTGTTTATTCTGAATTTAGTCTATGAAGAAATTTGAAACTCCTATCCAACCTCTCTTTCCCTTCCCAGAGTGAAAGTTTCCACGTCCCTGGTCTTGGATTGGCTGAACCTTAAGAAATGTACTTATCTGAATATGCGTAATAGGATAGGACATAATTAAAACAGATGCGTAGCCGCAGTGGCCTTTTTATAGGAAATGTTTCTCTTTCCAAGTCAAATTTACAAGGATAAGTAGTAAGTTTTCTTTGAACATAATCATTCCAATTTTGATCCCATTGGGTATTGAATTATGATCTGAGCAGAAATTAATTCGTTTTAAATCATGACATTGATTAACATTTTTCTTTATTTGGTAAGCTTTCATCAATCCCACTTGTCTTTTTCTCCATGGATTATATATATGTTTTTATAATTTCTTCATTATAAAAACAGCGGAAAGCTCTGCTCGTTTTTGAGGTCAGAAGTCGCTCAACACTATGAAACAAAAAGAAAGAACCAAACGAAACAAAAATAAAATATAAAGATCAATGTTTCGGCTGTGAGCCAAAAGCCCCCGAAACAAAACAAAGCAAGCAAACCAACTTTGTTTTGACTCATTCAGTTTGGGAACAAGTTTGCTTTTGCACTACCCTGGTTGTGGCTGCACTGTTTTCTTCCTAAATTGGCAGAGCATAAATGATGAGCTTTAATGTTAGGTGGGATATAAAATATAAAATATAAAAAACAAAGGTTCATAATTTTAATTAAATAATTATTTGGGGCTAACTTGCTTTAGATTATGTTAGATCAGATGGAAATCTGTGTAGTGCGTTCATACTAAGTACAAACAAATAGCAGATCAGATGCAACTTTCTTCACTTGCTTTTCTAGCTTTACTCGCTTTTATTCATAAAAATAATGTCCATGGTTCTAATTATTTGAGTATAATGACCATCAGAGCTAAAACAATAGCATAAAGTACCTGTCAACGATTTTAAACAAATACTAGGGCTGTGTTGGCTGAATGCATCTGGGCCGTCCATCTCAGCTTCTGAAATCTCTCTGTTTGTGGGCCCCAAGTTCAACGGACCGTCGACGGCCTGCAACCACTACACTGTGTCTATTTCTGACTAGTATATACTGTGCAGCAAAAAGTCCAAATTGCCACTGGGGCTTGGTCTCATGATCAGACTTTTGAAAAAGATGGTGGCCTTTGCGTAGCTGTCCATTTCGGGATTTAGGATCTACTCGGAAAGACAAAAGGGTATTTGCCTTTTTAGGAAACAGTATATTTTTCCATGCATCGCATTACCATCTTCGCTTTGCATCTGCCCCATCTAACGTCCACAACACCAGCAAGTCCATTATATTATAATGGGCTTTGAAGCAGGGGATTGAACCTCTTTAGTGGCAGACTCAAGCACGTGCTAATGACTCACGAGGGCTTCAGTGACATTTTACCTCCATTTGGTACTGCAGCGTACTGTTTGACTGTGAAGCACAGGTAAGCCCAAACCCCTAAAGGCAGTAATTTTGATGAGGAATATGCCCTATAAAAAAAAGAGAGCAACAAGAATTCAGACAAGGTTTTCAAGAGAATCACAAGAAAGCCACTGAGGTTCGGAGTGTGGGCAAAACGTTTAAATTGTCTTGTCCACATTTCACTTGCTCGTCCTTATCTGCTCAGTGGCATTACTGGTAATTCAAGCATAACGCAACTCACTGGAAAGACCGAAACATCCTGTGTTGCAGAAGCAAGACGGTGGGTTCAGTAGGGTTGTAAATGTCTTTTTCAGGCAATGAGAATTAGGCCAAGTTTATGTCTTTATATAAAAAAGGTTTAGTAACAGGATAGAAAAATAGTTGGGTTTAGCCTTTTGTGCTAAAAGACAAGCACCGCCTAGTCCGACTTCCTCCGACAAATGACATCTGCCAGCTTATTGTGACACGTGGACGGCCAGATCGAAACTATCAGCGACGGGATCAGACTTGGTTCATTGGGCTCAGGTATATTCTCTAACCACGGTTAAAAATGCACTGCTTCAAACCTTAACCATGGTTAACTGCCGCCGCTTCAACCCATTTTTCAATATATTTAATTTTTTTCCACTCCGTTCAAATCTCTCTCTCTCTCTCTCTCTCTCTCTGTGTCAGCTTCCCTCATTTAAATTCCAGCTATGGAGCCGCCGCCTAATGGGACTATGGTTCTCCGTCCATGACCTCGATTATTGAGTTGAATCGGTGTTTCCGTTGGTTTTCGTTGAACGAGCAAAGAGTCTAGTAATTCAGCTCGAGCAATTTGGTCGGTTTTTCTCGGGAATAAGTTTCTCTTTTCCCGGGAAACAATCAGAAAGTGTTAAGTGTTTGCTTATTTTAAACAATCAGAACTAAAACCCTAAGTAGTTAGCTTGTTCTAGAGGCCTTGAGCTCAGAGATTGAAGTGAAGGGAACAAAAATGGGGGACCTGGACAATTCCTCATCCCCGTTACTGACAGTTTCAACAGCTTCAGGGGAAGCTAGCTTATCTTCCTCTGCTCACGAAACCATGACTCTTCCAGAGCCACCTCCGAAGAAAAAGCGAAACCTTCCCGGAATGCCAGGTATACAAGATCGGAACTCGATGAACCTTTAATTTTTGCTAATTGACGCTAAAATAACATCTAATATCTTGTTAATTTCAAAATTTTCAGATCCCGAAGCGGAGGTGATCGCTCTGTCGCCGACAACGCTTCTCGCAACGAACCGTTTCGTGTGCGAGATCTGCAACAAAGGGTTCCAGCGTGATCAGAACTTGCAGCTCCATCGGCGAGGCCACAACTTGCCGTGGAAGCTGAGGCAAAGAACAACCAAAGAAGTCCGGAAGCGGGTCTATGTGTGCCCTGAGACCTCCTGCGTGCACCACAACCCGACCCGAGCCCTCGGCGATTTGACGGGAATAAAAAAACACTTCTGTAGAAAGCACGGCGAGAAGAAGTGGAAGTGCGAGCGGTGCTCCAAGAAATACGCCGTACAGTCCGATTGGAAGGCGCACATGAAGACCTGTGGTACCCGAGAGTACAGATGCGATTGCGGAACTTTATTCTCTAGGTGTGTGTTTGGTTCCCGATAAACTAGACGAAAAAAATTTCCTCTTTTTTCTAGTATTATTTTTATCGGAAACCGCAGATTATTAAGATGTTGTCGTTTTGTTTGGGTTTTGAAGGAGGGATAGCTTTATAACGCATAGGGCTTTCTGCGATGCGTTGGCGGAGGAGAGCGCAAAGGCTCAAACCCTAGCGATTGACGGCTCAGATGGAAATCAGAATCTCAATAATCACAGTCCGAATCCGAATGCGAAGGGTGTGGTGGCTTCGCCGCCTCCACCGCCTCTGACGCCGTCAAACACTGTGGTGTCTCCAGCTTTGTCCATTCAGAGCTCAGGTAAAAATAAATAAAGTAAATAATTATGGTCCATATGATCATATACGCCACTTTAATTTTTTTTTAAAAAAAATTTTTTTTTTTTTTTTTTTTTTTTTTTTTTTTTTTTTAAAAAAAAAAAAATTTTTTTTTTTTTTTTTTTTTTTTTTTTTTTTTTTTTTTTTTTTCCCCCCCCCCCCCCCCTTTTTTTTTTTTTGGGGGGTTTTTTAAAAAAAAAAAAAAAAAAAAAAAAAAAAAAAAAAAAAAAAAAAAAAAAAAAAAAAAAAAAAAAAAAAAAAAAAAAAAAAAAAAAAAAAAAAAAAAAAAAAAAAAAAAAAAAAAAAAAAA